CACGTAATCCTAAGGTTAAAACGTTTTACAGGTAACATCCTCTTGTCATTACTATTCCATTCCAAACCATTTTAAACATGAAAAAAATCTTTCTCTGTTGCTAAGAACAAATTCGTATACAGTAGTCCCCTCTTATGTGTGGGGGATCCATTCCAAGACCCCCAGTGGATGTCTGAAACCACAAACAGTGCCAAACCCTTATATACTGTATGTTTTCCTATATATACGTATCTATGGTAAAGCTTAATTTCTAAATTAAGCACAGTAGGAGATTAACAACAATAACTAATAATAAAATAGAACAATTATAAAAACATGCCAGCAGCCCTACTCCTGTACTTTGGGGTGATTATTAAGTATGATAAGGGTTGCTTGAACACATGCACTGTGATGCTCCAACAGTCGATGTGATAGCCCAGAGGGCTACTGAGCGACTGACGGACAGGAAGCACATACAACATGGATACGCTGGACAAAGGGACAATTCATGACCAGGCTGGATGGAGCGAGATTTCATCACGCTACTCAAAATGGTACGCCATTCAAAACTTATAAATTGCTTCTTTCTGGAATTTTCCATTTAATATTTTTGGACCACAGGTTAAGGAGTAACTGAAACTGCAGGAAGCAAAACCACAGATGGGGAGAACTACTGCATTAAAAATGTTAAGAAGCTCATCAGTAGGAATACTTATAAAGACACAAAAAAGAAGTCTTCTACTTCAACAAACTATAACATAAATATAAAACTTACCATGAGCAAAACCAACAGACATCCACAAGGCAATAAGTTGTGCAGTCTCAGATACCACAATAGAAAAAAAATCCTAAAATAAAATTTAGAAATTTTTTTAAGTTTTTGGTAATGTATACTCTTTTAGGATCCTCTGGTAAGTCACAAGAACATGGGAAGAATTCAAAAGTGGGTCAAAAAATGATTAAAAGATTGGAAATTAGTACATGTAAGAAAAATGGAAGAAAGTAAAATTATTCATCCAGAAATAATATATAAAAGGCTCAGCCATAATATTATAATCCAACTTCTCCCTGTTCAATAAGAAAAGTAAAAGCAATAGAATTAAGCACAAAACAGTTAAATTTCAGAAATGTGAGTTACTACACTTTGAAATGTGTCACCAAGAAAAAAATAGAATTCCTTTCTCTGTGTCTATTTAAAAAATGAAAAAGAGTTACGAAGATACAAAAATTTCCAAAAGAATAAAAAATTGCATTTTGCTATTATGTATTGTGTTTATTTTAGAACTACTGCTATAGAAATATCTTCATGTCAAATATGTGAGTAAAGAATATATGTGACCAAGTTACAAATGCTGCTCAAAAAAATAACGTACACAGTCAGGAAATAGGAGCACCTGTTCTTTCTTCTAGGCATCTTTCAAACAAAACAACTGTCTTATCTACATGTTGTTTATGAAGTGGTTCATCTCATCTTCCTCTAACAAAATGCTCAACATGCTCTACACTTCCTTTCCTAACTTGAGTGTTTTACGTTCTAAGTTGTCATCTCTAGTATTGACAGGCCAATGAGAGAAAACAGAATTGCCTTTTCTCTTTAAAAACTTACCACATATCTATTAGGTTCTTTGACATCTATTGAGGGAAAATGCTCCTGTATGACAAAGTCTAACAATGTCCTGAAGATAAAAAGGAGAGAGCTTCAGTGTTCCTCAGAATATATCAAATATCCAAGCACCTAAATCCACCCTTGACAATTATGAATTCATTAAATCAAGCTCAAAATTTTAAAACTTTAAGAATGAGATCTTACTCCCAAAACAGCCAAAGAAAAATATATCCTCAATACCAATCAAAAACAAAAATATGTTTCTAAGATCATACTGGATTTTACCTTATTATGTTACAAATTCAGATGAGTTCAATAAACATCCATTAAGTACTTACCATACCTATTACATTTGCAAAGCCCTGGGCAAGTGCTACGAAAAAGAATGATCAGACTCAGACCTCAAAGAGCACACAGCATATTACAGAAGAACATATGAAGAATCCTGACATTACAGTATAATAAATGCAATAACAGAAATATATAAAAAGTATAGCAATAGAGCAGGGAATGATCATTTATGGAGGATCACTGAAGGCTTCACAAATGAGGTGACCAAAATTGGTAAATGTCTGAAGTTAAAATATTTAAAATAAGTATCTATCATACTTCTTACTATCTATTTTAACCAACTATTCTAGTTAATTGACTAACCACTAGTATTGACTGCATTAGATAAGAGGGAATCTGGAAAAAAAAAATCTGGGTTTAGATACAATTTGGAAATTACTAAAACCCAGTGAAAACAATACGTTAGAGTTTGACTAACATCTACCTCTGTCTCTCAGATATACACTGTATATGACAGTAACGTCACAGTGGCCAGTGCAGGCATTTCAAGGAGGAAGTGGTGAACATGCAACAAATGCCAGACAAATAAGTGAAATAGAACTGAAACATGACCCCCGGATGGAACAATGTCAGTGGCAGGGTGAATCCAAGCAGAAGTGACCCCAAAAGCAAATGGGTGGTTACAAATAATGCCCATTGAGAGTAGACAACTCTCTCTACCACCCAGGCTGACATGAGCTCAGTGAACATTTGCTCAAGAGACTCAGAGAACATTCGTGACAAGTGTGATGACTGCCCTGCTCTGCTTATTCATTTCCTTCATTTTTTTTCCTCCCTTTATTCTTTGTGGACCAAATCTGGACTTACTAGGCTGATAACTAGTATATAGGATCCATATTCCAAATGATTCTAGTTTATCTAAGAGAATTTTTCTTATATATTTCCAATGACTTTAAAAAAGTATATTATCTTAACAAATGGAAACAGACTTCCTCTTAAAGGAGGAAATGTTTTTGTTTGAAGAAACATCTTGCTAAGTCTGCTTGAGAGAGACGAAATTTTGTGAGCACAGATGTTAGCAGGCACCAAGACCTCAGAGAATGATGGAAACCACACTGCGTGACCCAAGG